CGTTGTCCTCGTGCCACAAAACCCGGAGTAAGTTGCGGTGATTTCCATGAACCAAAAAACAATGAAACATTTGTTGAATGTCAGCGAGGATTGCTACTCTCTCTCTTCGGAAGCGTAGAAGGTCACCCAAGAGAGAATTGTTGAGGTCGGGTCCAGTCAGAAGCACATCGTTGAGGGAGACCCCACAGTACTGAGCGCTGGAATCGAAAGCCACCCTGATTTGGTTGGGCTTTTGTGGGTGGTATACCCCAAATGATGGAAGAAACCAGCACTCTTCATCTTCCTTCAAAGGTGGCGCCACCTCTGCATAACCATTGGCAATGATTCTCTCCATGAATGCCGCATATTGTTTCTACATCTGAGGTTTCGTCCTGAACTGGCGTTGCAAGGATTCAAACCTCTTAACTGCATGTTCTTTATTATTCAGCAAACGTCGCTGTGGCTCCTTGAATGGCAATGGAGCAACCCAACTGCCGGTGTCATCTCTGTAGACATTTGTGTCCATGATCTCTAGGAAGAGAATATCTTCTATTGATGGGGCAGGTTTGTTATCATGTTCAGTTTGGTTAAACACTGTGTGCCCTAGCATCCTCTGTGGTGTTTTGTTGGGCTTGCTGAAGCTTGGTTGTTTCTTTGACATGCATGAAACTCGCACAGGGCTGAAATATGGAATGGCGACCATTGTCTAGCACATGGGTCTTGAATGTGTCAACCGTTGGCTTATGCACGTTACCTAGACACACCTCCCCATCACCACCCAGCCCAGATTGAGACATTGTGCAAAGGGAGCGTTATGTGGCCCATTAACTTGCTGCCTGACCTTGTGTGCTCTAAGCACGCCTCTAACGAGTAGCAGGAGTATCTGCTTCTAGGTCCATATCGGGAATATATTTGGCTATATGGTGGAGATGAGGCTGATGCAAAGCTGCACCTGGTGTTGGGATTTCAGCTCGGCTGTTGGGGATTTCAGAACACTCGAGGAGTGCTGGAAGAGGTATGAGAGCTTTGCCATCCAATGATTCTATCTGGAAGATGACTCTAATGTAACTGATGTTAGAACCAGCTGCACAGAGGTTTGTGGCCTCGGCCAGTGGGGTCGTTCTTGCTCTACGATCTGCCTAGCAAAGGTCTACCCCAAACATTCAAAACACAAAGCCATTAAAGCTTATGTAATCCTGGATGAACAGAGCAATCGCTCTTTAGCCAGGCCAGAGTTCTTTGAGCTGTTTGGTGTAGAGAACAAACCCCTCTTATACTATCTCAGAACATGTTCCGGCATCATCAAAACATACGGTAGGAAGGATGACTTGTGGCTGGCTGCCATCTCGAACACGTAGAAACAATGAGTGCGCCTTTTCACTGTAGTGTCCTGTTGCAGAGTGTAGCAACTCTGAGTAAACACCAAGCTAAACCTTTGTCAAATAATACAGGAGTCAGAGTAGAGTTGACCTTTGACTCTTAGAACCTTCATTTGACAAGCGCTGAAAACTGTAATTGAAAAGAAATACAGAATAGAATAAATGATCATGTTTACATAAATATTGCCTCACAAACTAACTCAAAATACGACTTTACATAATTGTATTAACCTGAGCAAAGAAAAGGACCATCAAACAAATACCTCTTTTAACATGTACAAATTAGGGCTGGGCTGTTATCGGCGTTAACGCGCTGCGGCAAAGCCAGACTCTTATCGCGCGATAAAAAAAATGACGCCGTTAATCTATTCTCAAAGTTGGGTTGGGATCTGGGTCTATACTAAGTAAGCTATGATGGCTTTCACACATGCTTTCACATTGCGCGGATGGATACCTGGTTGGCGCGGATGGATACTCGGCGCGTATCATCGTACTTATGGTCGGACGCCAGGCTCGCGGAGTTTAATGTTCCCCATGCAGCCGAACAGTCGCACCTTCGCCACCAGCAGCGCTTCTCCCTTCTCATCGCGCGGGACAAGTAAATAATTTATGTACTTTCACCAGACTTTAATCCATAAATCCGACTTTCATTCTTTTTATTTTGTTTTGTTTACCTCCGACATTTCCAGCCGGGCTTTCCCCGGGCCACACTTCACCGTCCGCGGCCGAAGCAGCGCTCGGATGTGAGAAAACCGAGGCAAGACTTTCTCAGACAGGTGCGGTTTCCAACTAAGTTTAGCTCTTTTAGCAGCTGTTTATTGTGATAAAGTGATAAATTGTTTATACAGGTCGTTGTTCATGTGGCTTCGACTCAAATTCACCTGTAATAATAAACGTTTTATACTCATAGATTTTTATATTTGTTTAGAAAAGTTGAGCTAGGATAACTCCCCTTGCCGTTTTCAGAGACAACAACAGAAACAGCTGGCTTCTGCTCATACAGGTGAGCTGTGGCATCATTTCCAGCTCGCTCCCATTCACCAGAGGCGATCCTACATGCAAACTAAAGGGGGGGCATTGGAAGGGCACCCCAGAAATTTAACCCCCTCCCCAGGCCAGATAGTTTCTGTGTGTGTCTGTATGTATGTATGTATGTATGTGTGTGTGTGTGTGTGTGTGTGTGTGTGTGTGTGTGTGTGTGTGTGTGTGTGTGTGTGTGTGTGTGTGTGTGTGTGTGTGTGTGTGTGTGTGTGTCTACTGTATATACTTTTTTCTTTAGCAGGCCATATTGTGCAGAAGAGAAGATCTAGTTTGTCACCAGACAATGTGAACAAGCTGGTCTGCTTGAGTGACTGGTGGAAGAAGGAGAAATAGAGCTTGGACTGATTGACCAAATGCTACTGACTGTAAATAGTTAATCATGACCTATTCTGTAGACCTACAGTGCAGAATTTGTTGAACTGAATAAACAGCTATTAAACACAAATACTTATTGATCATCATTTATTTTCATCATCAGTTATCATAGTAAAACTGCTTTATCAGTCTGTGATGCATTATTGAAACAAGAAATACGCCTCCATTCTCAAATACTTGCTTTTATTCATTATCTAGGTATCACACACATATGCCTTTGGCAGAATTTGAATGAGCCATTTTAATCTAGATTAATCTAGATTAATTCCAAGATTACAGTGAGATTAATCTAGATTAAAAAAATTAATCTATGCCCACCACTAGTACAAATCAATCATTGTGAAATACAAATAAAATTGTTTTGTTTTTGTTTTTTTAACAACTACAGCCATTTATGCCTCTTTAACATCTTCATCATGGAGTATAAACAGAGCGTTGTGTGAACAATATTCCCAAGTGGATGACTGTGGATAAGCCTCAGAGCATGACAGCATGCCACTCTCCCCCCGGCTTTCCACAGGAGCCGTCAGCAGCACGTTACTGCAGCAGCACGTCATAGCTGCTGATAGGAACCGTTGTGGTCAACAGAACCTTTTCCACTGGAGCCGTCAGCAGCGCGAGTCGGCCGCGTCTCAGGAGCAGCATGTCGCGGCCTTTACACGCCGGTTCTATTTTCTACGCGCGACGCCTCTGAAACGGGTCAATTTCGACATTTTTGGGGAAGGAAAGACAGGAAATCGGACGCGGAAATGGAGAGAAGCTCCCAAAATTTTCAGAATAAAGAAACGTACTGCCTTCCGGTTGCTTTACTTTTAAAATAAGTTACTAACTGCCAGTGTTTGGAGTAATGCGGTACAAAAGTAATTAATTACTGTAATGCATTGCTTTTTGCTGTAATGCGGTAATGTAAGGCATTACAGGGAAAGAAAATGGTAATATTTACTCGGTACAATTGTCAGTAACGCGGTAATTACAATGCATTTTTAAACCCAGAATCAAGATGTGTTCCTTAAAAATTTAAATTGCAGGAAACCCGAAGAAAGATCCAGTATCCACATATATGACGTCATTTATGGACTCAGCTTTGCGGACATTCTATGAGCAGAGAGGACGCCGCGGTGATGGCTCAAATACTCCAGCTGCGTCCTGCGTGCGGCCGCTGTAACATTCACAAAATCGCTCCACCAAAACAAAATAATTCACTTGAGATCGTTCATATCAGCGCATATTCTCTGATATTTTGTTCTTTTCTGACGTGCTTTGCCTCAGCTGAGTTCATAATCTGTGCCCCGGTGATTTCAACTCATTACTGCTGGAGCGCCGCGCATATGAAGATCCCTTTGGCTGATAGAAAGTAGGAAGTCTAGGAAACAGTTTTTTCTGGAAGACGGAGAAAACATGCAGCATGCAGGAAGGTTAGAGAGAGAAAGGGCCGGAAATTATTCAAATAAAATCAAGAAAATAAAACAAAGTGCTTGAAAAGAAAAAAATAGGTAGATTTATCCCCAATACACATTTTTACCAGTGAAAAGCAATAATATATAATCATTTAATATTTATACATGTGATAGAATCAGATCACCCCAGAAGTCAGTCCCACATCCAGGGCCGTATCAAGGCATTTGGGGATCAAGGCAAATATAGGCTTGGAGCCCCCACCACCTCACTCCCTGATCAGTTAATATAAGATGGCAGCGTGTTGAGAGTACAGATTGTTGTTGCTTTTATTTAATAAACAATCATTTTAAAGCACTGTTATTATATCTGACTGTTTTTAACAGCAATCCTAGCTCAGACACCTCATCACCTTCCACATATATGTCATGAGCTCACTGAGCGTCACATGACCAGATTCATATTGAAGTTGTACTGCTGAAAGTAACTTAAAGTAATGCAAAAGTAGTGTAATGCCTTACATTTTAAAATCAGTAATATTGTAATGTAATGAATTACTTAAAAATGAGGGTAACAAGTAATAAATAATGCATCACAGTTTTGAAGTAACTTGCCCAACACTGTCAATTTGTGGCATTTTAATTCTTCCATACGTGTGTGTGTGCGTGTGTGTGTGTGTGTATGTGCGCGCGCGTGTGTGTGTGTGTGTGTGTGTGTGTGTGTGTGTGTGTGTGTGTGTGTGTGTGTGTGTGTGTGTGTGTGTGTGTGTGTGTGTGTGTGTGTGTGTGTGTGTGTGTGTGTGTGTGTGTGTGTGTGTTGTGCTTGTCCATTCCCCATTCCTGTTATATTAGTGAATTTGTGTGAGTGTGGTGTGTGTGTGTTAATCCTTCCTGCAGCCTTTAGGTTCAGTTTTGTGTTTTAGAGCCTTTTAGGTTTATTTGGCCCTCCTCTGTTTCTGTTTGCCTATTTTGATTATTAGGTTCACCTGTCTTCCCTCCAGCTCTCACTCCACACACCTGCCGCCATTTTCCCTAATCACTTCTCCCTGTGAATATAAGCTCTGTCCTGTCTGTGTCCGGTGTCGGTTCATTGTTGTTGCCGTCAGTGTGTTTTCCTGTCAGTCTCTCGTTCTGATCTCTAGTTTATATTTTTGGACATTTTGGATTACTGGCTTCTCCCCTTCGGATTTATTTTTGTTTTGGACTCAGCCTGCAAAATAAAGGATTTTCTTATATTTCATCTCCTGTCTCTTGTCATCCCGGGTTCTGCATTTTGGGTCCTACCATCTGTAAAACGTGACACCTGGAAGCGTGGATATGCACGAATGTGAAGAGTGATGCCGTTGGTCGGGGAGGCAGAAATCTCTGCTTTGTGTGTGGATGGATGAATGTTTGTGAGTGCTTTGGTCTAACCACTGAAACCCCCAGATAAACTCATTATAGTGTGGATTTCTGTGTATTAAAACTGCGTTGCCGTTGGTTACAGAAACGGTAAAACTTCTACAGCCACAGGTCAACTGAATACTCATGAAACTCTGGGTTAGAAGATGTTTTTAAAATAAATATGACTACCCCAGAAAAGGTGATGTTTCTGATTGTCGTTATTCTCTGTGTGACTGACCTGCCTGTCGGACCGACACCATCTGTGCAGCAGCACCGTCCACCAGACATCTGTCTGGAGGAGTCAGTGCCATGTTTCCCTTTCTTAGGACGATGTTACCTGATAGGCCCCCCTCTCTATGATCAGCTCAGGTGTTTCTGTGTAAAGACCATGCCCTCCAACACAACAACCAGACCTTTTTCTTCTCATACCTTCTAGTTAAGGCTATCCTTGTGGATGACAACCAAACCTTCTATTTGAAAGCAGCACTGAATCTTCTTAATAAGGTAAATGTGAGGGATCAAGCTGAATGAGTGGAGGAACACAGGCAATTTCCAAAAATAGACTCTTTAATTTCCTTTTTGTTTTAAAATGCCCTCCCAAAAACAACTCGAGCTCATAAAAGAGGTCAAACAAACAAAATGAAACTCAATAAACTTCTAACTTAACATACTGACTGACTGAAACAATAACCGACCTTCCAAACAAAGACACACAAGGGTATATATACACATTGGCTGATCAGACCATATGAACAATAGGGATTACTAGACAAACATTTACTAACTAAAACTAAAACCACAAATCAGTACAGTCAGATTGTTAATAAACCTAAACATCCTAACCCATAAACCTAACTATTTAACTTCAAACTTAAATTAAATAACTAATGACAAAATAATAAATTAAAGGAAATTCTTCAGTCCCCTCTTCAGGGAGCTATTGGTTTGGTCCCATCAGCTCCTCCTGTATTTAGATGACAGAACCCCTTCAACCCTGTTTGCCTGTCCCATCTCAGGAAGCAGGAAGTGGAGAACCCCAGCACCGGTAAGAGAAAACAAATCAACTTAAATTGAACAAATGAAAGGCATAAAATACAGCAGTTAACTAAATGTGCGCGCTTACAATTAGAACTAATGCATTTAAGCCATCTAAACAATAAAGCCAAAGAAATATAAACATACAAACTGCAATCATAAAAGTGCAAGAGTGTACTTAACGTTCACCGTTGTGTGGACATGGATGTGGCCATCACAGTAAATTTTGTTTATTTCTGTTAAGTTGAGCAAGAAAGTCTGTCCTCTCAAACACAACTGGGACTGATGATTCATAGAGATGTGTTTTTATGCTCGTATGCTCAGCATCTTAATCCCCTAGAGCCTGGCTTATTCTAACTAATATGAACTGAATTGTTTTAATGATAGTTATTATTACATAATGCTAATGAACTGTGCCAGGAGTTTACCCAAGAACCTCCTGGGAAATAACACTTCACCAGTTCTGTTAAAACCAGTCAATCAAAAGCTATTTCAGGTCCTGACAACAGGCAGCGGCAGGATGCGCTTGACCGACCGGGAGCAACATGGCGCCCCCTGCTGAGGACTTCTACTGCAGACGGTTCAAGCCCAACACCTTTGACCCCGCTCGCTGCAGCTCCTGCCTGCGACCCAGTCACATGCACCCGGGTGCCATCGCTGCAGAGTATGCAGATGTTACACAGCTGGGTGACGTACATGACTGGGTATGTGGATTCAACCTCCAGCTGTTTAATCAATAATCAATAGAAGTGAAAAAGCATGAGAGTTACAGGAAATGGTTTAAAAAACGACTGCAGCGTACAGCTGAGGACCCTCTCTGACGTGGTCACACTTTTAATCCGTTATGTGAAACACAATCTGTGAACCTGATCCTTTTAACCCAAAACTCTAAAGGTTAGTTCGTCAGAAAAAGCCTACACTTAATGAAACTTTGCAGGTTTTTACAGTTTTGTAAACAAAAACAAAGTGCAAAGAGAAGGCAAAACGAACAAACCTGTTAGACCCCATGAATGCCCTCAAATGGAAATCTCTGGGTATGAAAGACACGGTTTATTTAAAGGGTACAAGATTTCCAGCCATTAGGATTTATGGCTAATTTTGACTCAGAAGAATAGAAAAGTGGAGATTTGTGTGCTTCATGACGGAAGGAGTCAGCTGAGTCTATTTGACTGATGACCGGTCCAGGAGAGGCCCCCTCTGGATCCTCCTGGGGGGGTCCCATGTTCCCGAACCAGAGAGGATATACGGTATGTGACCCTCCAGTCAGTTCTGGGCTCCTCCTAGTGGGATGTGACTGGAAACGCTCCGGAGGAGGACAAGCAGGAGTCATCCTTAGCTGACTCTGATGCAGAACAGAGGTGTCTGTGCTCCTCCTGAACTCCTCTCAGATCCTCTCATGTTAGTCTGAGCTTCATCACGATCCAGCGGCCCGTATCCTGGATCAACATCTGCATTTTGTGATTTTAGAACGGAGTTGGAACAACAGCAGATCGGAGCTGCTCTCGCACCCATCATTCTGGCTCTGACTCGCTCGCTCCTAAATCCAAAGAATCGCTCCGTCCTCTTGCATTTGGGAATCCACACTCTGATTCTCTCTGTTTACATCCAGCTGTGAACGTTTACGACATCAGTGATTAATTCCTGCCTTCAATCAAGAGTGTATTTTATCATTTTTATTTTCATGATCAGATCTTATTCTCTTCACGCACGGTGGCCATGAACTCTTTATTAACACCAGCGTCGCTTCACATTACAGCAGCCAAGATCCCCAACAACCAACCCACACTCATGGTCGTCACAATAAAAGCACGGTACACCACGTCCTGTCTGACTGTATTCATCACAATAAGAGTCTCACAAAAGTATTTTACATGAGGACAGAGGCAAAAAACAAGGTTGAGGACATAAGGAGCTATTTTCCAAATAAACATGTAAGTCAACTGAAGTCAAGTTTGCTAATAAAATGAATCCATCATAATAACGTTCTTCTTCTTCTTCTTCATGTCCGTTTAAATGGCGGGTGGCAACCAACTTAAGGTGCATTACCGCCACCTACTGTGCAGGAGTGTGAGTCAGAGCGAGGAGAAGAAAAAAAAACTAAATTCTATTAAATACCTTAATTTTCCTAAGAAACTCTAGTACCAGTTTATAAATGGATTTATGACCATTCAACAACGTTCTCAAATCCCAAACACCATATCCTTTAATCTTCAACCTATCTACAAATTCACCCCGAATTACAGTATACTTACTACAAAGACACAAAACATGTTCTACCGTTTCCTGTTCGTTCCCACAATCACAAAAACCTGTTGGATGTTTACTCAATATATGCAAAGTGCTGTTTATCATAATAACTTTATTGGCAGTGCTAGGCTTTAACGCTCAGCATGCAGCAGGTAAATCACCTGTAGCTCATCGGAGCGGATGACTTACCTTTCTCTGAGAGAGAAAGTGTCATGGTCTGTGTCTGCGTCTCACCTCATGTGTCTCCTTTTGTCCTCAATCGTCTCTAGGTGCTCATTTTGTGTCTTCTAGCGCCCTCATGTGTCGTGTCTGCGTCTTCCTCATGCGTCTCCTGCTGTTCCCCATTTGCCCTCTAGGTTTCCCTCCTCAGACATCCCCCTCCCAGGCCCTGTGCTCTCTTGGCCCCCTCTTAGCCACGCCCTTGTAGTTTCTGTCTGTAGTGTTTTCCTTTAGTGTCAGCTTCCCCTTAGAATATTAGTTATGGTTCATGCCTTCTGGTCTTTTGTTTCTCTCTTAGGTCATTTTCCTTTGTTACAGCCTTTCTTTATTTAGTGTGTTTTCTTCCTCCTCCCTGATTTAGTAATTGTGTTCACCTGGTCCCTCTCCCCACACACCTGTAATTCATCTCCCTCTCTTCTTCCCAGTCTATATAAACCCTGTCTTGTCTCTGTGCTGGGTCGGTCCACTGTATGTGTATTCTGTCGGTGTTTGCTCGTGCTCTTGGTGAGCTTTGTTTCTCCAGCCTTGGAGTTTTGGACTTTAGGCTCGCTGCCTGGGTTTACTTTTGTTCCTCCTTCAAGAATAAAGGATTTAGCTTTTTCATCATCTCTGCCTCGTGTCATCCTGGGTTACTGCATATTTGGGTCCTAACATCCCCACAGCGTGACAGAAAGAGAACTAACCACGTCAATCATGGCTCTCTTTCTCTCCGAGTCCGACTTCCATTCAGACTCTGAGAGAAATCTGCAGCAAAAATATTATCAGCCTAGAGAGACGGTTAAGCCTTTAAAGCCTGACACATGGAATAATGATCAGAAAACAGTTTTTTTATTTAGACAAATATTATCACAACAATAATTTACTTTTACAACAATAAAACTAAACACAATTTGTACTTTAGCTTCCATCAGAGGTCAGAAAACATGTTTACGATTCAATAAAGCTTTCTGAGGACAAAAAACAAAACTTATTAAAAGGAAAACGCTCTTATAAACTTAGAAATCTGTATGAATATGAAACAATTGTTGTTAAAGGGTTAAACTGATGTGTTAAATGATAAAATGTTGGTGACACAACAGTAATTTACAGAGGTGTGGATTTGAGTCACATGACTTGGACTTGAGTCAGACTCGAGTCATTATTTTAATGACTTTTGACTTGACTTGATAAAATCTATAAAGACTTACGACTTGACTTGGATTGAATGCCAATGACTTGCGACCTGAATCGACTTGCAACTGTTGACTTGATGATGACTTGAGCATATTTGATATTTTAGCACAAAAGTGGCACGACACGGACAAAAATCATAAATCATTCTTGGTTCTGGGTTTGATCTCGTTCTGCTAAACGCAGCAGCTCTTTGTTTATAACCAGTTTCAGTTGCACTTCCTGCTTGTTTGAGCAAATAAACGAAGCTTTAAGAAGCTTTTATTCTGGAATTTATTTATTATCTTTGTCATTAAAACTAAGTTGGACAGATGACTTGATTATGACTTGAGAATTCAAATTCCATGCTTTCGTTCTTTTTAAACACAGAAACAGTTTTGTTTACCTGTTATTGACGCTACAGTTTCGCCGACAGCTGCCGGCTTCTTCAGGCTGACGCTGATGGCGGCGCGTCACTTCCTTCTCCGTTTATCTGCGGGCAGCAGAGGACGTTGTCGCCCTCTACTGCCCGCTCTCCCCTCTCCGATGATGCAGTCCCATGCGTGGTCCAGCGTGTAAACTCCGTCGTCCCTGTTCATGGTCCCACATCCACGTCTCCTTATCTAGATTGCTTCCTTGATCCATCTTTTGTATTTTTGTTGTTCAGTGGTTATGATCCTTGTGTTGTCCCAGTCCATTATCTGGTTTTCTCTTGTGCAATGATCTGTTACGGCTGACTTTTTTATTGTACTTTCTGCTTCTTCTTTTGCTGCTCTTGTGTGTTTTCGATTTGCCTCTTTCTCGCACTCCTTTCTGTGTTCTATTGTCCGTGTATTGAGTTGGCGTCCGGTTTCTCCTATGTATGTTTTATTGCAGAGTTTGCACGGGATTTCATAGATGACTCCACATTTAAGTCCAGCTGATATTTTGTCTTTTGGGTGCACTAGTCTAACTGTTGTGTATGGTTTTGTTGGTGTGTTTATGTTGTGTTTTTTCATTGTTGCTCTTATTTTTTCCGTTATGCCTCTGATGTATGGTAGGGTTATCGCTGGTTTTGTTTCTTGTCTTTCTGGGTTTCTGGTTCTTTTTGATTGATCTGTAGCTACAAAACAGGTAAACAAAACTGTTTCTGTGTTTAAAAAGAACGAAAGCATGGAATTAGAACCACGACACAGCAAGAACACACCTAAGATGTTCAAATTGAAAATTCAAAGTTGAGGACTTGGACTTGACTTAGACTTCCACATCATTGACTTGAGACTCGACTTGGACTTGGTTGTCTTTGACTTGGACTTGTGACTTACTTGCAAAGCAGTGACTTGGTCACACCTCTGGTTTTTCAACATTTAACATCACAATGTTATATAATAGTATGTGTGGGGAATCATTGTTATTGTTTTCTCATGGATCAAAGAGAAAACAACACAAATGGGGGGGGGGGTAGATTTACGAGTCCCCACCAATATTGAGAGCAAATCTGTGCCATTGACAAAATGCTCTCAAATCCACTAAATCCACTCTTGATTAGAGGCAGGATAAAATCCCACGCGTCAGACGTAGCTCCTGCTTCAGTTGGAGAGCAGATCCTTCTAACTGGCCTCATCACACACGGTAGGACCCAGTGGTCACAGACCTTCTCCAAGTCCACAACACACACGTGAGCCGGACATCTAAACTCCCATGAGCCACGCCGGTCCTCCTGACTCTGAGGTTTGGTCCATCAGAGCCTCCGTGGGTGGCCCAGAAGTGCGGCCCCCCACAGATGTGTTCGGATGACTCGAGTGTATTCACAGCAGTTTTCAAACAGGATTGGAAAAATAGATCAAATAAAAAAAATAAAAACTAACATGTAGTGATGCTGAAGCGTTTTCTCTGTAACTGTCTGGTTTTACAAAGAAATGAGAACCCAGTGACGCATGCAACGGTCCTAATTAGGAAGAGTTTGTCTCACACTCAGGTGTGATGAATACAGGTAACACCAACATGTGTCTGGGACAATGGCCACTAAAATCAGGAGGGAAAGGTTACGTGTGATGTAATGAGCAGATAACTTAGCCTGGCAAGCCAGACTAAATAAATGTATTATTTGGTCTGGCAACGCTCCATTGACGGCTCTCGGTTGTGGGGCGGGTTCTACCGTTGTCTTTCAAATGATCTCCGCATTCCACTGGACAATGAATGTGACATACTCTTGTTTCACTCTGTTGCATCATCCCACCCACCAGGCATATAGAGAGCCCTGATTGGCCCACAAAGTGGATAAAGCTCTGTGATTTGTTCACTAAGCAGATAGAGCACTAAGATTGGCCCACCATTATGGACCAATCACAGTTCTTTATGTGTTTGAAACCCCTCTAGAGAGCTGTGATTGGCTAGCCAGAGTCCTGGTAGGAGCTGCGGAGGTTCCAATGGAGCGTGCCTAGACCATTCTTTGCAAAGCAAGAATTTGGTCTAGTTCACTAGGCTACAGATAACCAGGATGTGATTAGAAACTGTTCCACCGGTTGCACAGCGATGTAATGACGTCACCCTATGACACAGTCACTACGTGGAACCATGGAGGTGGGACGTGCATGGCATCTGATTCGTATCATTAATTAATGAAGGGTAGTTACATTCCTTGGGGAAAGGCAATCTGATTGGCTCAGCAGCACCCCCTCCCACTATAAAAATAACCTACATTAGGATATTAGTCTTGTGGCCGTAACACTAAGTTTATCCTGCTCCAAACACCTGGAGGCACCTGATGTGGTTTAAACCTGCTCACGGTCCAGATCCAGACCTGAAACCTGCCGCGGCCTTCTCCTTGTTTGTGTTTTAATGAGGTAGAAGTGACAGATCAAGACAGAGAGGAGAATGAATCCGAGTGGGCGGTTCTTGGATGCAAAAGTACTGGAGCCATGAATTAATGATGAGCTGGAACAGAGAGTAGCTTGAGTTACGTCCCCGACAGTTTAAATGAATTAGTCCAGACACCGCGGACGGAGACGTGAGGCTGGAAGGAGCAGAGCAGCTCGGCTTTGACAGCAGATCAAAAAATATTCAGAGTAAGTGAAATAAGTCGGAATGCTTTAGAGGTGCTCAGCTGGCTGTGGGTGTGTCTGTTCAGCTTCATGCTTATAAAGGTGTTGAACTTTTAGCAAAGGTAAATAACCTTGTCAGTGTATAATTAGAAATGATAATACCTGAATTTACTTTAAATAATTATTCAGTCAATCATGCTGCAGATGTCCCAGGCAAAAAAATAATGAGTAACTTAGAGTTTGAATTCCAAAGTTTTTAGTTGTTTTAGCTAAAACTGAATTTTTAGCGTTGCTCTTAAACCAGGTCACACATGATGATGAGGAAGATGAGGATGATGCTCTGTCTGACGTGACCACGAGTGCCAGTAGCGATGACGTCGGCGGCGGCTGGAACTTTGAGTGGAGTCTGGAGCACGACCTGAGTCCCCGGTGGGAACCTGAGAACGGTGACGCTGACATACAATCCAGGTGAATCCATCATGTAGTTTGATTTAAAAAGACATATAAACAGGACATTTATTTATTTTATTGTTATTTTATTTTAGAAATAAATGATAATACAGATAAAGTTAGTGATTTTACTAAAATAAATCAAAATAGACGTACGCCATCTGATTCCAAAGGGGAGGAGCCTACACACCTTATATACCCCCATTCTGGTCTTAGGAACGACCCAGATAAGCATCAACGTTTGTTATGAAGCACTTTCCAACAAACAAAAGTGGTGTATACCAGATGAAAACATGATTTATAAATATAGACATTTATGACATGAAGCTGTACGCCAAGAGCGAGCAAGACATCAACTCAGTGACCCACACCACCAGGATCTACAACACTGATATTGGAATGTCATTCGGACATGAGAAGTGTGGTCGGATGGTGACAAAGAATGGGAAGGTGGTCCACATGGAAGGGGTCTCACTCCCAGAAGGAGCAATAGCAGACATGGAGGACAGCTACAAGTACCTGAGATGTGACCAAGTCACTGCTTTGCAAGTCTCAAGTGTTGGGGTTATTAGGAGCGAACAATTCGTAAGCTTTAACTTACTTTTGGATTCTTCAATAAATTCTGTAAATATGGGAATATTTACTGATTTATTAATTAATTAAGATATTCTTAGATATACGGGGCACCATTCCCCTTTAACCGGGGAAAAATTGAATCCAAAACTCTTATCAGTCTTTCTTGAAGTTCATAGAACCCTTGGAGCAGAGACTTCTCTTCGACACAACAAAGCTACTGGAGACGAAAATCTGAATTTTATAACATTTAATTGAACAATTTGTCAAATGAATAAACAGTGGCATAAATGAATAATAACCATGTGATATGATTGAAGATGGATGTGTTTGCGTGTGATGGAGGATGTATGAATGAGGTCCTCCGTTCTCACAAAGGAGTGGTGAGTGTGTGTGTGTGTGTGTGTGTGCGTGTGTATGGATTCAAAATGGAGTCTTGAATACAAGATGGCTGACCCCTTTGTCTGGCTAAAGTGTGGGTGGCAACTTGCACTTTAACTTCCAAAGCACTTAGAATCAGTAGTAACTTAACCTTAAATCACTCAAAACATTTCAAAAGATCATGAAGCTTCACCAAAGATTAATCACGAATTAATATCTTTTAGTTTAACCACTTTGCCATAGTAGGAAACATTTAAAGATACCAAACAATGATTAATAAGCAGTTTATTCTTTCAAAATGACCCGACGGACGTGTTTGGGAACGAAAGAGGAAAACACGAAGCTACTTTTAAGCAATAGACGCGGTTTATTGCTTATTCTGGACTATAGAGGAAACGGGAGAAGGAAAGAATGAGAGAAAGAGATGAGTTTCTGATCACCAGAACAGTGAAGCATCCCTCACTGTTTGATTTGACGGTTCTCCGTGTTTCTCCGCAGTTTGGCGTCGTCCGTCGGTTTGATGGAGTTGTCGCTTTCTCCGTTGTTTGGCGTTCTCCGTGAGTGTTTCTCCACAGCTGGACACAAAGAGAACGAAGTTTCTTTTGTGCTGAGTTTGACAACTTACAGCGTCTCTGAGAGCTGGATGGAGCTCCGCTCGTTCCCAGTCAGGTCCTGATGGAGTTGGAGTGGCTTTGTAGCGGTTGCGTGGCTCAACTTGGGCACTTAGAGCTTCCGCGTGCTCAAGGGAGTCGGAGCGTTCGACAAGTGTGTCCTTACCGCCAGGTATCCTGGGCAAAAGAACGGAGTTTTCTTTGTTCCGTTCATGATTTATAGTCTTTGAAGTCATGGGAAAGCTGTCCAAGCTCCCGCCTCCCGCAGAACGTGTTTCTGGTATTAGGCGGTGACATCATCCCAATGCTTCCGTGTGCAAAGCATCATGGGAAATGAAGTTTCTTGGCGCTGATGTGATTATTTGCTTTTTAGAGCAATTTAAGCACAGTCATTTTGGAGAAAATCACTGCATAGTAATTTCCTCATGAGGTCAGACCCTCAACACAAGTAAGTCACAAGTCTTTCCAGTCAAGTCCAAGTCAAAGACAACCAAGTCCAAGTCGAACCCAAAGTCAATTATGTGGAAGTCCAAGTCCAAGTCCTTAACTTTGAATTTTCAAGTCATATTCAAGTCATCTGTCCAACCTTCAATTTAATGACAAAGATAATAAATAATTTCCAGAATAAAAACTTCTTAAAGCTTCATTTATTTGCTCAAACAAGCAGAAAATGCAACTGAAACTGATTATAAACAAAGTGCTGCTGCATGTAGCAGAACAAGATCAAACCCAGAACCAAGAATGATTCATGATTTTTGTCCATGCTGTGCCACTTTTGTGGTAAAATATCAAATATGCATCAAGTCGACAGATGCAAGTCTATTCAAGTCGCAAGTCATTGGCGTTCAAGTCCGAGTCAAGTCGTAAGTCTTCTGACAACTCTGACAAGTACCTTGTCCCACAAGAAAATGGATACCCGATGAAACTGCAAGGAAAGAAGCCGCAGCCAACTACCTTCAACGAGTAAGGCGAGTCCTAAGAAGTCAGCTCAATGGCAAGAACAAGATCCGGGCAATAGACAGCTACGCCCTGCCAGTAATCAGATAACCTGCAGGAATAATAAGCTGGTCAAAGGAAGAAATACAGAACACAGATGTTAAGTCACAGAAGCTCCTAACCATGCATGGAGGGTTCCATCCCAAGTCCAGCACCTGTACACAAGTCGTAAGGAAGTAGGCCGAGGACTATTGAGTGTGAGAACCACTGTCCAGGATGAAACATCCAAGATCCATAGGTACATCAAGGATAAGGCCCCAACAGATGACGAGCTCAGTAAATGTCTCAGACAATGATGAACAGAGGAGACGCAGGAAAAACCATCGTGGGAGGACAAACCCACACATGGGCTGTACCACCGACAGATAAAGTGGCTGAGTGCTGTGCCCGAACGCATTCATTGAACAATTGTTCGTGAATTTGTTCATTTTTTTCATGAACGTGAACTGAACTCATTCGTATTTTGCCTGACGAACGTAAAAGTGAGTGCGTTCGTCCTGGCGTGCGTGAACGGGTTTATGAACGCGTTCTTTCGCCGTTCTAGCTCCAGATCTCCACGGAGCTTTTCCGGAGCTAAAGCCTAGCTAAAACATCCTGTTAACCATAGAGTTTATAAAAAGTAGAACCCGCAAACATAGGCAGTAGAGGTTGGTGCCGCGTCTACTCTTCTACGTCTATGCAACGAGTCCTCTGAGACAATCCACCACATAACTGCAGGCTGTGAGATGCTGGCATGGAAAGCATACATGGAATGCCACAACCAAGTGTCTGGCATGGTGTACAGGAACATCTGTGCAGAGTATGGACTGGAAGCCCCAAGGTCAAAGTGGGTAACACCCCCTAAGTTGGTAGAGAACAAGAGACCCAAGTTCTTTTGGGACTTCCAGATCCAGGCTGACAAAATGGTGATGGCGAAGCAACCGGGCATTGTGGTGGTGGACAAACAGCCGAGGACAGCCATAGTGGTTGATGTGGCAATACCAAGTGATGCAACATCAGGAGAAAGGAACATGAGAAACTAGAGAAGTACTAGGGCCTCATAGAAGAACTTGAGAAAGCCTGGAGAGTGAAGACATTGGTGGTGCCCGTGGTGATCGGGGCACTCGGGGTAGTAATCACCAGACTGAGGGAGTGGCTAAAGCAGATCCCAGAACAAACAGACATCTCAGTCCAGAAAAGTGCAGTTCTAGGAACAGCTAAGATACCGCGCGGCAGTACCCTCAAGCTCCCAGGCCTCTGGTAGAGGACCCGAGCGTGGAAGGATAAGGCCACCTGCAGAGGGTGAGATAGGAATTTATACATCTGTATAGATATATAGAGATATAGATGCATATTCCTGAGGGATGTAAAAGACAGTGATTGATGCACCGACTCTCTGAGGGCCTCGTATTTAATAAATTGCGATTTTAACTCTTGTCTGGAAGCCAAAACCATAGAAATGTAATCTCTGTTGGCAGAGCCTGTCAGCACTCTGGCTGCAGTGTTTTGGATCAAATGTCATGTTTTCTAGGAACTGTTTGGACATCCAGCAAAACAGTGCTGCAGTAATTAAAACAAAAGCACAGACAGGTTTTGTCAGGATCTGCTCCGACCCCTCTGAATCTTGGTCCCTGACCTGTCCCTTGTTATCCTGCCCATGTGTTCCTGATTATCCTTGTGTATTTATACCCCCTGTTCTGCACCTGTCACTTGTCGGATCATTGTTGTGTCTCCACCCTGTTACGTTGCTCCTGCTGTATCCGACCTGCCAGTACTCATTAAACCCGTTTTATTTTTGATCTGAGCTGCATTTCTGCCTCCTGGTCCGCCTCCACCCACACCGTACCGTGACCGGTTTTTCTGTCCCGCTTTATGAAAACCTCCCTCTTATTTTACATAAAAGAAATGAAATTTAAACTGTGATTTAGAGGCTTTTTATAAGAGTCAAAAGTCAAGTTGAGATTACAAAAAACTTCTGTTATCGATTGGGAAAATGAAGAAGACACGGATATGTTTACAGTGGCTGCTTTTGTCAGTAACAACTAAAGAGACAATGTGTAGTTTGTACCATTAATCTCTGGAAATATCCATTGAAATGTTGTAAATGAATTAAAATATACCCAGTTGTTGAACAATATTGGCGGTTTCATAATATATAACCATAAAAATTGGGTCTAAAATACATCGGAGCGGGTCTAAGTCCATTATCCCTGATATCTTGGTCCAGAAAATGTCTCACCTGGGACTCTCCACCCCCATCTGCCTCTGGATTAAGGACTTTCTGACAAATAGATCACAGTCTGTCAGACTCAGGCCACACCAGTCCAGCACCATCACACTCAGCACCGGGGCTCCACAACGATGTGTTTTGAGTCCACTCCTGTTTACAATCTACACATCCGACTGCTCCCCTTTCCATCTCTCGAACACCATGATAAAGTTTGCGGATGATACCACCGTGGTCGGACTCATCTCGAAGGAGGATGAGACGGACTACAGAGATGAGGTCAACAGACTGACGGAGTGGTGTTCAGTAAATAACCTCCAACTGAACACCACGAAAACTAAAGAAATTATCTTCGACTTCAGGAAGGGCAGAGCAGACCCGGCCCCACTGTACATTCATGGGAACGGTGTGGAGAGGGTGCACTCCATGAGGTTTCTGGGCGTGCAGATCTCTGACAATCTCTCCTGGACAGCAAATACCACGGCAGTGGTAAAAAAAAGGCCCAGCAGCGTCTCCACTTTCTGAGAGTGCTCAGGAGGAACAACCTGGAGGAGAGGCTGCTGGTGACTTTCTACAGAGCCACCATAGAAAGCATCATAACGTACAGCATAACAGCATGGTACGCAGGGTACTCAGCTGCAGACAGGAAAGTACTGCAGAGGGTCATCAACACAGCCCAGAAGATCACTGGCTGCTCTCTGTCCAGCCTGGAGGTCATTGCAAACTCTCGGTACCTCAGCAGAGCGAGCAATATCATCAAGGACCAGTCTCACCCCAGCAATCACGTCTTTCAACTATTACCATCAGGTCGACGGTACAGGTCACATAAAACCAGGTCAAACAGATTCAGGGATAGCTTCTTTCCCAGGGCGATCTCTATAGTGAATAAGCATAAAAACAATTAAAACTGCTTAGCGACTGTCAAGGTCACCGTCAACTATTATGCTGCTATTCTAATGCCATGTTTTACATGATATTGTAGCTGCTATTCTGTATATATTGTGCTATTCGGCACATATTGTACTTACTATTGTTTTGTTTTAGGGGACCTTTATATTTAGAAGTATTATTGTATTGTGCACCAAGGGAGTGGCACTCCAATTTCGTTGTATCCTGTACAATGACAATAAAGGCTATTATTATTATTATTATTATTATTATTATTATTATTATTATTATTATTATTATTATTATTATTATTAACACATTACTTTATTTTAACATTAATAATAAGCAGTTGTTAATACTTTATGTAAAGCTTATTAATGCTTCATAAGGTAGAACTTAACATTAATAAAGGGACATTTGTGTAAAGTGTTACCTTTTTTTTTCTTTTCCAATCAGCAGATTGGATACTGTCTAGTGTCCCTGATAAACAAAACCAGGAGCTTGTCATATGAAAGTTTGCTCAGGGACCCAAGCTGCAGACCAAGGAGACAGAGATCTAGAGAAAACAAGACTTAATTAATAAATAGAAGAAGCTCAAAGCTTTCTAGTATTATTGTTCTTGATAAAAGTAGCAAAGATCCCCCAAATGAAATACTTTTTCGGCATTTTTAATTGATTTTTGTCTAAAAAGTAGAGCTGTTTCAGAACGCCAGCAGCCTAACTTTTCAGACTAGTGGTTAGCTTATCAGTCTTGTGGAACTAGTTAAACAGAGGCGTTCAGAAAGCTGTTCTACAGGTAAGATAATAATTTTTTTAAAGTTTCTCCTTTTTAACTCAGTACTAGTCTCTAGGGGGACAAGAGGATTCCATTTAGATGAATTTACACATTTTTGTCCCATTATCTTTGTTTTCCAGGTCTCCGGCTCAGCGGGATCAGTCAGAGAAGAGTTGGCCTCCCAGCACAGGGGGTTGCTGTGAAGTCCAAAGAGAGATGACTCGACTGGACCCTTCCCCTCCCAGAGACGCTGAACAACCCTGGATGGATGACAGACGGAGCAGAGATACATCCCGCCGGGCCTCAGGTGTGTTACCTGCACTGAACACTTTTCCTTGTGCAACAAATAATATTCCACATTTGAGATGAACATTATGTGTTTGATTTCCAGAGTCCAGAGGAGGCCAAGGGAGAGTAAATAACTATTTCTCCCCAGACAGAAGAGCTGATGGTGCACAGCAGGTGGAGGACAGTAAACGGACCTTTCGGTACAACGAGAGGGGCCATCCACTCCCAAGCAACTATCTTCTTGAGCCCAAAGCCTGCGTCCCCTACAGGAATGTCAACCTCGGCGTTCCCTCCCAGAGAAGAAACACAGAGACGTACATGCAGGCTACGTGGAGGAGCGAATCCCCGCAGAGATACACGTACCACTCTAACTTTAGGCGAGGTGTGGACTCAGAGATGAACTCTCTAACACGTCACAGCTCAGTGAGTCCAGACCGCTACAAGATGAGGGAATCTCCTGCAGGAGCTCAGAGAGGGAGCTCCCTCTGCAGGAGTCAGGCTCCGTCTCATTCATCCTCACGTGGCTCCCTTCAGCTTCCATCTCAGGGTCTGTCAGGTCGAACATCAGGAAGGTCCAGTCCGTTACACATGAGGGGGTCTACAGCCTCTCGTACCTCCTCACCCGCTAGGACCGCCTCCTCTCACAGGCGCACAAGCTCCTCTCTGCGCCAAAGCGGCGACTATAAAGATGGGCCGGGTTGCAGCCGAGACTCCAGAAGTCCATCACAAGTTTCAAAAAAGCACAGTTTGGATTCTGAGACGCTGTACAGAAATCTCGAGTCCATCTCGCGCCGTGGCTCCTCTGCCATGAGACAAAGTTCACAAGAGGGAACCCAAACATCACCTGCAACTAGAACCAGAACATCCATCAGCAGTTTGGCTCACTCACCACCTCACAGCAGCCGGGAAGTTTCACCACCCAGGAACGGCTACAGTCCACCCAGCCGCGCCTCAGGAAGAGAGTCGGACTCCAGGGACAGCAGGCTGAGCCGCGCTCAGAGCTCCTGGCAGGGGTCCTCACACTCCTTACTTGGTCCTACTCCATCACACGGTTCCTCCTCTTCCAGGCGAGGAGCAGACTCCCAGGGTCTTGGTGGATGTCTATCACCTGCTGCAGTAACAGGCACTGATCAGGCTGATGAGGGGAGTAACAACATCACCTCTGACAGGAGCAGGAGCAGCGTGAGACGAGGCATGGAGGCCTTGTTGATCTCTGAGCCCAAAAAGGCTCCAGTAGAACCTGAGGAGGTAAGTGTATTAGTGGTGAAGAAGGAAGAAACCAAAAGCAGGCTGGTGTTAAGGCCCCTTTACGTCCAGTATTTGAACTACTTTGTTTCCTTCAGAGTAAATATATACTTGCCCTCTGACCTGACAGAGCTGCTAGAAGGTCTGACTTTGAGAAAGTAGTTAACCCTCTGGAGCAGGGGTGTAAAATATGCGGCCCGCGGGCCGGATCCGGCCCGCAAGTGGGTTAAATCCGGCCCGCGAGATGGTTGTGTAAACTTTATTTTCATACTTTACAATGTAGAGTGAAAATAAACGTATCTTTGTGAGCAAGTTTTCTCTGTAATGAGTATAAATAAAACAAAGATGCGCTCAAGGCTCACACAAGAACTTGAGTCACATCCTGAAGATGGCCGCCACTCAGGATGTGACTTCTGATATCGATGTGCTGGTGAAAGCTAAAAGATGTAAAGTAAAATTAGTCAAATATACTTTAAGTGCTGCATGAAACTGATCTAGCCATGTGATCTGTAAGCTCTTTGAATCACTGAGGAATGTTTTTTTTTTAATTGATTGATTTTTTTAGTTTTATCAAATTTTCAAGTACACTTCAGGTGTTGTACTTGTACTATTTTGGATACACTGTCCTCAGGCTCCAGCCTTGTTTTATATTGATTGTATTAAAACAAAGAAAACTATCTGAAGTTGTTTTTAATTTACCGGTCCGGCCCCCTTGGGACTAGATTTCCCTCAATGTGGCCCCTGAGCTAAAATGAGTTTGACACCCCTGCTCTGGAGGCAGGCGTTGCAGATTTGCAACAGTTAACACCTACCTACCTGGTTACGCCACACACGTATTGCATGAGCATTTTTTAACTCTGAAGTACCCCTGAAGGACCTAGTTGTAAGTCCCTTTATCAAAACTGATTTTGAGCCTGAGAGGGTTAAATGTAAAATGTGTCTGGGTCCAAGGTGGGGATGACCATGGAGGACTACATTATGCTGGCTGACATCCCAAAAATTCAAGTGGAGCCAGAAGAAGAGTTTCCAGGGCTGAGACGGAGAAACGAGAGTCCAAGTCCCTGCAGGGAGCAGAGATCCAGGACATACAGGTCTGTGAGCAGGAGACGCAGGGCTGGTGTAGAGGAGATTTGATGAGTCATGCTGGGAGATTTAGAAGAAAATCCTGCGCGAATTCAGGAATAAATAATGATGCTGAAAATTATAAGTGATAAGCTTTTCGTGTGTGTGTGTGTGTGTGTGTGTGTGTGTGTGTGTGTGTGTGTGTGTGTGTGTGTGTGTGTGTGTGTGTGTGTGTGTGTGTGTGTGTGTGTGTGTGTGTTTAAGCCTAGGATATTGAACCTTTTCACGCAATGATCCTACTGGGGTTGTTTTTGGCCATTAAAGATCATCTTTACTCATATTTTAATACATTTGCAGTGGTCTCTAGTTGGAACGAATGCCTCGTAAGTCTTACTTTGGGGACAGAAACTCTGGTGCACCTGTTTCTGGAAGTAGAAATGAGCCAGATCAGATATGAGCGGAAGACACAGGATTTGGAGTCTTATTTGACTCAGAGAATGCTGCTGTTGTGTCCTTGGGCAAGTCACTTAACCCGCCTTGCCTGCAGGTGGTGGTCGGAGGGATCAGTGGCGCCAGTGTTTGGCGGGGCTTGTCTCTGTCAGTGTGCCCCAGGGTAGCTGGGGCTACATTGTAGCTCATCCCACCACAGTGTGAATGGGTGAATGACTGATAGTTTTGTGAAGTGCCTTGGGGGGTTGAAGAACCCTAAGAAGGTGATATACAAAGATGGGCCAAATACAGAGCTCTCTTGTCTCTCATCTTCTTCCGCTTATCTGGGTCTGGGTCGCGGGGGCAGCGTCCCAACTAGGGAATTCCAGATTGTCCTCTCCCCAGCCACCTTCACCAGCTCCTCCGGTAGGACCCTTATAGGCGCTCCTGGTCCAGATTGGAGATGTACTTTCTCCAACATGCCTGGGGGCGACCAGGGGGCATCCTGCCAGCAGGACATGCCTGAAACACCTCCCTGGGGAGGCATCCAGGAGGCATCCTAACAAGATACCCAAACCATGTCAACTGACTCCTCTCAATATGGAGGAGTAGCGGCTCTACTCCAAGTCTCTCTCGACTGTCTGAGCTCCTCACTCTATCCCTAAGGCGGGATCCCAGCCACCACACAGAGAAAACTAATCTTGGCTGATTGTATCCGCCTTGTCATGACCATAGGTGATGACTGGGCGGTAGATTGACTACTAAATCAAGAGCCATGCTTTCCGGCTCAGCAACTTCTTCACCACAGTTTCCTACCCTCATTCGTGAACAAGACCCCGAGATACTTGAACACCTCCACTTGAGGCAGAACCTCTCTTCCAACCCGGAGTTGGCAAGCCACCCTTTTCCGGTGGAGAACAATGGTCTCAGACTTGGAAGTGCTAATCCTCATTCCAGCCGCTTCACACTCGGCTGCGAACATCGTCAGCAAGAGCATTAGGTCAGAGCCTCATGCAGCTAGGAGGACAACATCATCCGCATAAAGCAGAGATGAGATTCTCCTGCCACTCCACAGGAACTGTCCCCGATGACCACACAATGTTGCAGAGATGTGTCAACCAAGACAGCCCTACAACATCCACAGCCTTGAGATACCCAGGTCGGATCTCATCCACCCCCAGGGCTCCGCCGTTGCGTAGTTGTTTGACTACCTCGACAACTTCTGCCCCAGAGATTGGACAGTCTATACCCAGGTCTCCCAGCTCTGGTTCCTCCTCGGAGTGTGTGTCGGTAGGTTTGAAGAGCTCCTCAAAGTATTCCTTCCACCGTCCAACTATAGCCCCAGTTGACGTCAAAAGCTCCCCATCCCCACTGTAAACAGTGTGAGCAAGTTACTGCCTTCTTCCTCTGAGGCGCCGGATGGTTTGCCAGAACCTTTTTGGTGCCGATCGATAGTTTTTCTCCATGGTCTCACTAAACTCCTCCCACACCCGAGATGTTGCCTCAGAAACTGCCACTGCTACACCTCGCTTGGCCCTCCGGTAACTGTCTGCTGCCTCTGGAGACCCACAGACCAGCCACGCCCTGTAGGCCTCCTTCTTCGGCTTGACAGCTCCCCTAACCTCTGGTGTCCACCAGCGGTTATGGGGATTACTGCCACGACTGGCACCGGCCACCATGCGACCACAGCTAGCAACAGCCACCTCAACAATTGCAGAGCGGAACAAGGCCCATTCAGACTCAATGTCCCCACTGCTCTCAGGACGAGGTCAAAGCTCAGCCAGAGGTGGGAGTTGAAGACCATCTGGACAGGTTTGTCTGCCAGGCGTTCCCAGGTCTACCAGGTCTGCGCGGCATCTTCCCCTGCCATCTGATCCAGCTCACCACCAGGTGGTGAACAGTTGACAGTTCCGCTCCTCTCTTTACTAGAGTATCCAAAACATACCGTCTCATGTCAGATGATACAACTACAATGTCAATCATTGACCTGTAGCCTAGGCTGCCCTGGTACCAGGTAAATTGATGGGCATCCTCATGTTTTAACATGGTGTTTGTTATGGCCAAACTGCGGCTTGCGCAGATGTCCAACAACAAGCTGAAAGCTATTTGGTGCATAATCACAAACAACAGTCAGGACCCTTTTCCCGACCGGAAGGCGCAGAGAAGGTACCCTTTCGACCCCGGGAGAAAACCCCAACACACAGGCAGAGAGTCTTGGGGTTAACAGAAAGCCCACCCAGGCCTCCGCCCATGGACGTAATTTTCACTTTAGAAGTGGGGGGGACACTGGGGGGGGGGGTGTATCTTTACAGTATGCTCTAATGGGAAACAGACTTCAACACAAACAGTTGTTTTCCGCTTGGTCCTAGAGCTCAATCAGTGTCAATTTAATATAGTGTAATATTGTTTTTGGATGGTAAAAAGTGCAGGGGTCAAAACTTGACTTTGAAAAAAGTGGGGGGACATGTCCCCCCTGTCCCCCCCCCCCCAAAAAAAAAATTACGCCCATGCCTCCGCCTCTCACCCTGAGCAACTCCAGCATAAAAAGAGTCCAACCCCTCTCAAGGACTTGGGCTCCAAAGCCAATGCTACAGTATGTGTTGAGGTACCAATCAAGCTCTTCCACAAGCTCCAGCTCTTCCCCACCAGAGGTAACGTTCCATGTCCCAATACAGTTTTTGTGTCCGAGGATCGGACTACCAAAGCCCCCGCTTTGGTCTGCTACCCGATCCACATTGCACCGGACCCTTCATATTCCTCCTGCAGGATGTATGTCCACAGGTGGATGAGCCCGTGTATCCGGTTCGGGCTGGGCCCGACCGGGCCCCATGGGCGATTGCCCGGCCACCAGGCGCTCGCTCATGGTCCCCAACCCTAGGCCTGGCTCCAGGGTGGGACCTCGGTAACCCTCCAGGCTGGGTACTCTGGCTCTTTGATTTCCCTTCCATGAACTCTTCTGTACCAAACTTTGTCTCACCCTTCAGGTCATTTATCATTTTACCATTTATTTCCTGATATTTGGACATCTCTCCTCTGACTAACTGTTTTATCTCCACAAATAACACAAGCCTGAAGGAGTTCTGTTGTGTGGTGGAACTGCTAATGCTATTAGCTTCTACTAGTCGAGAGATTCTCTGCTGTTTGCTGGACGTTAAACCCACAACAGCCTTCCCCGTCGGGAGTCTAGATGGGTGAGTCCATGAATGTTAAGTGACTGGTCTGTCGAGGTTTTCTAATCCTAGAGTTTTGCCATCACTTTCCTATCAGAAGCTAATGCAGGAGATCAGTGTAGTAGACTATTTTCATGTTCAGACTGCATGTAAAACTCAGAGTTAAGCTGGGCGTACACTCTGCAACATTTTCCCTTGTAACATTCAGCTCCATCTCAAACTGTACGACTTGTACAGTTGTACAGTGTACAACCCAATGTTCAGATGCGACCTGACTGTTATACATGTGGTAGCAACACATCAGACCTAAAAATATGCTAAAAATAGTCATTTTAACAAAACACATTGGACGTTCAAGTCCAAACACCCAGAAAATGCGGAGGCTGTTGTGTTGTCATTGTTGTCCTTCCAGCTTTCCATAGGAGAACACGCAGGAGTTTACGGGAGTTGGAGAAAGAAGACAAAAGAAAGTTTTCGGATCGGTTTCATTTGACGTAAACATAGAAAACATGCTTTCTTGGCAATCCTTGTCATTGTGTGAGTAGAAAAATGGGAAAGGATGTGTGTTGACAGAGGAAATAACTGTGGATCCAGGTTGGAGCATGTGCTGTGTGGGTGGTTCTGGAATTTTTGGGTTGCAGAGCTGCTTCTACAGTGCGATGCCCTCACGAGGAACAAACAAAAACTCAAACATGTTTGATAAATAGTGATCACATGATTGCTGACCGGGAGCTGGTGGTGGGGTGTTATTCGGCTCTCGTTACAGCCTGCACACTACAGGACACACGATGCAAAACTCTCTCCAACCTCAAAGATTCTCACACAAGAGGAAAATCGTCTCAATGTTTACGCCCAGCTTATTGGTGGCAGCTGGTGACTTTTTCTTTTGGTGGGGCGCATTTTTGCAAGACATTTTTCAGATGCACTAACCACAAATCACCACTAGGAAACAAAAGATAGATCCCACACTGTTAAACAGTGCAGCACAAGGACGTAATTTTCACTTTAGAAGTGGGGGGGACACGGGGGGGGGGTATCTTTACAGTATGTTCTAATGGGAAACAGGCTTCAACACAAACGGTTGTTTTCTGCTTGGTCCTAGAGCTCAACCAGTGTGAATTTAATACAGCGTAATATTGTTTTTGGATGGTAAAAAGTGCAGGGGTCAAAACTTGACTTTGGAAAAAGTGGGGGGGCATGTCCCCCCTGTCCCCCCCCCCCCCAAAATTACGTCCATGGTGCAGCACGTGCTGGTCCTACCTGCCCACATAGATTTGGCTCCGATCGGCTCTACAAAAAAACTTCTTCCCTACAAAATAATCAACTTCACATTTATCACTTTGAAACATAAACTACAAATATTCCAAAGTAAAGTCATTACACACCATCATCACTCCTCCTCTTCTCACAACATAGGCTAACTTTAGTTTAACACTCCGGCATGAGGGGCAGCTGTGAGACTTTAATTGTGTCTGTCTCTGAAGGTATCCTGATGAAACGGATGTCTACGGTCCAAGGCCGGAGTCAGACAGCAGGAGGAGGGGGAGAGAAAGAGGGAGGGACAGAAGAGAAAGATGTCGGGACTCAGCTGCATCTCTCCATGCGCAAGTAAGAGCCAATAACGCCAGAAGATCTTGTGGAAAAACATTCAAACAAACAGAATAAACTCTTAATTATTTCTGCTAGAGCTCAGATGATCAAAAAGGAAAACACAGATGTGTGAGGGTGAAGGAGCGCGCGCTCGCTGAGCGCCCACAGACACAGGTGAGCATCACATCTCTACAGGAAATGGGTCAGCCATGCTTTTATTTTTAAGCATCTTGTTGGTCTTTATTACTTCTCTTTCGCTATTACATCTGATTGTAGAAAAAAGTTATTACTCAGCACTTGTTTTAGGCCAGCGAGTACAAATGATGTATTGTCCTATTTTATCATATTCAAGGATCCGAAAGTAAGTTTGTTTCCCCTGGAGAATGTGGAAGAAAAGGTTTCTGCAGTCAGAGTTTCTTTGTAATGTTGAAAACTGCTGAGTCATCGAGCCACAAACCCTCAAAACCCGTCTGTCTACATGGTGACTTCCTCTTTCTGCCTCACAGCAAGTTTTTCTCCTAAATGCTGTTTTTCTCTTTGCTCCACTAAACTGACACTGGACACAAAACCGTGCACGGTGAGTTTTTATCAGTTTGCACCAACAAGCTTTGACTTTGCTTTCTGTCAAGTGACTCAAGTTTGACGTGTAGACGATCACGACTCACAAGAGCTCCTTCCTGTTTTATGTCAACTTTTCTGCTAGATGTTTCCTACTTTTAGACTCACAGCTGCTTTATCTCCCTTATGCATGCTTAAGATAGAAGCTGTCTCACCAAAAAGGGCAAGTTTTTGTCAGAGTGAGAGTTTCTGCTTCCTCCAGTCAGACAATCAAACAAGAGGCAACGGAAAACTTTCTTACATCCCGATTTGAATCTGCAGATGGCGTGACTCAAAAGGGCTGGATGTCCAGGCTGGATGAACAAGGGAAGGTAAATCACTGGGTTTCAGGTTTTTACTCCAATATATTCAAGTGACTATCCATAGTCTCTGCTGCAATAACATCTAAAGCCTGCTTTGGCTCTGACACGATCACAGGAATGTCTTCGTTTACCGCTAAGCGTTCAGAACATTATATAAAAAAACACCACAGCTTTTTAAACATGTCACACATGCACCACAGCCTAAAAAGTACAATAAGAGGCAATTTTACTGTGAAATAATCACAAACAGAATTTGTAATTAAATACTTGCTGTTGACCATATGTTAGCTAACAGGAGCGACCCAGAAGTTATTTCTTGCACCCTCCTCCTGTTATCTTACTCCAGTCTTGTACCCTTAAAGAGCAAGTCACCCCCAAATAAACTTTTTTTTGCTGATAAACTAAATAAACGAGTATCTAATCGTGCTGCAGACACGTGTCGTCAATAATTTGGCCCTTCAGTGCATTTTAGTTAAAATTTAAATATTCTGCCTCAAACTGGCAGTGTTGTGCCGTTGTCAGGTAAAAACTCTGCACTGAATTTTAATTTAAATCTGCCACCGCTATTGGCTAAGAAATATGCTATGATGTAAACTGGTACATTATGATGTCACAATGCTGTCGTGAGCCTGTGTGTGTGTGTATTTGTTAGCAGCTCCGCCCTCTTGGTCTGCCAGGCAACAGCATGTGTTGCATTTTTCAAACATGAAGTGGGAGTGGAGTTAGACTCTGGTAGGGGGTGACTTGCTCTTTAAGAAGCCACAACATCTTTTGTTTTCCTCTAAAATCAGGCGAAGCAGGCTAGAGGCTAATGTTCAGCAGCTAATAGAAGCAAATAGTCGGCTCTAAAAATATTTGCACATACAACAAAACAAGTGCATTTGTTAGACATGTGAGTGTGACTATTAGAGTTTCTGATAGTTTTACTTGGTACTTGTTTGTTTTGCCCAGTGGAGGAAGCACTGGTTTGTTCTTGCTGATACTTCACTGAAGTTCTACAGAGACTCAGAGGCTGAGGAGGTAAGAAGAGTCTTCATAAAATCATTTTTAAGTCCCCTGCTGTTAAAAAGGGTAAACGGGTAGCAAGCATGCTGTAAACCTCTACACCTCATGAGCTAGTCCAAGTCATCTCTAGCCAACCCAAACGTTGCGCTGATGTGGTTACTTCTAATAATAATAATAATAATGCATT